CTCTCAGCCTTCTCTTCTCCAGGCTGAACAGCCCCAGCTCCCTCAGCCTGTCCTCGGAGGAGAGGTGCTCCAGCCCTCGAATCATCTTCGTGGCCTCCTCTGGACCCGCTCCAACACATCCATGTCCTTCTGATGTTTGGGGCTCCAGAGCTGGACGCAGGACTCCAGGTGGGGTCTGACGAGAGCGGAGTCAAGGGGCAGAATCCCCTCCCTCACCCTGCTGGCCACACTGCTCTTGATGCAGCCCAGGATACGGTTGGCTTTCTGGGCTGCCAGCGCACACGGCCGGCTCGTGTTGAGAGAGGCAGATTCATGGGCTGTTCATTTGTGGGCGCGAGGAGGCACACGTGTACGGAGCCATGGATTTGTGGCTCTTCTCCTGCCAGAGGTCTGCAGGCAACTGCCTGGGAAACAGGGAGCAGGTGACTTCTCCAGGCTTCCTCCAGCGCTGAAAATCGGGCCCAGTGGCTTTCTGGTTTGTTACTGGTTTTGCAATGGGAAGGTCAAGACATTTCCTAATCTTTCAGAAACAGAAGGGTGGAGCCTCTCTGGCGTGGGGCTCTTTAAGCAGAGCGTCCCTAATTCATGAAGGTATAGTTTGGAGGTCTGCACGCTAGGAGAGGTGTCCCACCTGATGTTTGAGGAATTTCACCCTCATCTTCCTCCCTGCTCTCATCCTCGTCTTCCTCACCGCTTTACAAAGCCTCTATGCAGTTGGCAGCGCTGGTGATCTGGGCAGAGTTGCTGGCCGTCATCGTCCTGTGCGTGCTGCTGCTCCTCGTTGAAGTGCTCCTCCGAGCCATGGTGGTCATTGGGCTTCTGCTCTATGTGCTCATCACTACCTGAAGGCAAAGCGGGGAGGGCGCGTCTTTTCCCCCCTTGCACCTCTGCAAGAAGGAGGTAAGAGGAGAATCACCCCGACCTCCAGACAGATGGAGATGAGCAGTACTCGAAGGAAGAGGGGAGGTATGGCCGCTTCCTGGCTTTCTGTGTTACACCCTTGCTTGGCAGCTTTGTCATCCGCTCTCCCGAAGCGCGGAGTTCAGCCGTGGGCCTGCAGCAAACCCCAGTCACAGGTTCAGGCCCCTCGTCCCTAAGGGGAAACCGAGTCCTGGCAAGGTGTGTTCCTCAGCCGCACCTCCAGGTGCAAACTTGCCCTGCCGCGCATCAAAACATGGGGGAATGGCTTTAAAGTGAAAGAAGAGAGATTTAGATCAGATGTAAGGAAGAAATTCTTTCCCATGAGGGTGGTGAGGCCCTGGCCCAGGCTGCCCAGAGAAGCTGTGGCTGCCCCCTCCCTGGCAGGGTTCAAGGCCAGGCTGGATGGGGCTGGGAGCACCCGGGGCTGGT